GCTCTGAGCCGTCCGCACAGAGCCTGACTTGGGGCTCAAATTCATAGACTGCGAGATAATGACCTGAGCTGAAGTCGGACGCTCAACTGACTGAGCCACCCAGGCGCCCCTCTGTCTGATTTTGACATCTCTAGGCACCTCTTATAAGTGGAATCCTACGATATTTGTCCTTTGTGGTCTCGCTTATTTCACTTAGCGTAATGTTCTCAAGGTTCATCCGTGTTGCAGCACGTGCCCTATCTTCTTTTTAAAACTGAATAATAGGGGCACCTGGGTGGCTCAGTCGGTTAAGTGTTTGACTTGGGCTCAGGTCATGATCTCGTGGTTCACGAGTTTGAGCCCCATGTCGGGTTCTGTGCTGACAGCTCGGAGCCTGGAGCCTGCTTCCGATTCTGTGTCTCCCTCTCTCTCCGACCCTCCCCCATTCGTGCTCTGTCTCTCTCTGTCTCAAAAATAAATAAACGTTAAAAAAAAACAAAACAAAAAAAAACCCCTGAATAATATTTGAACAAAGGGAAAAAGAGACAAACCAAAAAAACCAGACTCCTAACTATAGAGAACAAACTGGTGGTTACCAGAGAGGAGGTGGACGGGAGATGTGTGAAACAGCTGATGGGGTTTAAGGAGGGCACTTGTCAGGAGCACTGAGTGATGTATACAACTGTTGACTCACTGTATTGTACATTTGCAACAAGTATAACACCGCATGTTAACTACACTGGAATTAACAATTTTTAACTTTTTACAAAACAGAATAGTATTCCATTATGTGTATATATCACGTTTCGTTTATTTATTCACCTGTTGATGGATATTGGGGTTGTTTCCATCTTTTGGCTATTGTGAATACTGCTGCCATGAACATGGTCGGGCAAGTATGTGTTCGAGCTCCTGCTTTCAATTCTTTGGGGCACACACTCAAAGGAAGAATTGCAGGATCATATGGTAATTCTGTTTAGGTGTGATTTTTGGAGGAACCGCCATCTTGTCTTCCACAGTGGCTGTGCCACCTTCCGATTCCCACCAGGGGCACACAAGGGCTCCAGTTTCTCCGTATCTTTGTCGACATTTATTACGTTTCATTTTTGGATTATAGCCATCCTAAAGGGCGTGAAAGAGGGTGAAATTTTGACAGAGGATGGACAAGCCAGCCTTTCAGCCAACAGAGGCCTGCCTGAAGGGGCTATGGTATGCAGTGGATTGAGTCACGCAATGTCTGATGTCAAAATCCATGTGGGGTTCTGTTTACCTTCCTTTCCTGGAAACGACCAACTGTAGAGTACTGTAAAGGCCCCGCCTCCCATGTACCTTCCAGTGCTGCTGCTAGAGCTCATGCTGGCTCGGGTGTGCTGGAACATCAGTGACTTGCTCTGAGAGGCTGAGTCAGGGGCAGACACCCGGGAGGTGAGCTGGTCACCCATCACAATGACCAGGGGCTGTGATCAAAGCAGCCTGCATCACACAGGTCAGGGTTCATCCCAAAGACAGGTGTGGTGGTGGGGCACAGAGACAGGACTCTTCACGAGGCAGGGGCACCTGGAGCTGGAAGGGCAGGAACATCGTCATCTGCTTGGTAGAAGGAGGGGTAGGTGCTGTTTGCACTGAAGCTGGCCCCCAGCCCCAGGAGGGGAGCTCTTTATGCACAAAAAGGAGGGGGGCGTAGGGACTTTTTGAGGTCTGGCAACCACCCCACTGGGTCACAGCCCACTGAATGGAATAGGCTCGGGGCTGTGTTCCATGGGAATGAAATGGAGTACCAGTCAAGAGCCTAGGGGTCCATGCACACAAGACAGAGTGAGCTCAGATTGCTCCCCAGTGCCCAGCTGTGAGGCTCCCCGCTAAAACTTCAGGGCTGGGGGGGGGTCGAGGGGCAGGATTGGACCTACCTGTGGCTATCATTCAACTGGGAATGCAGAACCTTCTTCACCCTGGATGCTCCCGATCCCTGCTGGAAAACATGATTTGTGCTTCTGAATCAGGGCACCTGTAAGTCCTAGGCCCGTGGCTTGCTTCCTCAGTGCAGCGTTATGTGGGTAGCTTGAAATGGGCCATGGTGGGAGCATTTGCACGACAGAAATGCAGAAATCGGTAAACGCTTATTTATTTGCCTCCAAAGGTGGTTGTTAAATATTTACCAGCACACGACTTGCCCTGCTTGAGAGGTGAATCCGATGTTCTCATCGGCTCAGGTTCGGTCTGGGGCCTGCTCATGCCCCTTTGTCCCAGGACCCCTGTCCACCTGCCCATTGATCCCTGCTGCCATCAACCCCTGGGTGACTGAGTCATGTGCAGGGTGGGGCTGAGAGGATTGGGGCAGTTGTGCTCGGTTGGCACAGCTTTGGGGACAATGGCTGTTTCCCTGGCATGTGACAGAAGCAGGGCTGACCAACTTGTCTGTGTCTAGGTCATCTGCCATGGCAGGTGTGGTGTACTCCAGACAGGTGAGTGTTGTGGCTTTCTGTCTGTCCCTTGTGGCCACTTCGAGGTTGGGCAGCTTTAACAAACAGGCCCAGACGCTTTGGGGATCCCTATGATGATCATTCTGAAATGGTGGGAGGTTTTTTTCCTTGTTTTTTTTTTTTTTTTTTTTCAACGTTTATTTATTTTTGGGACAGAGAGAGACAGAGCATGAACGGGCGAGGGGCAGAGAGAGAGGGAGACACAGAATCGGAAACAGGCTCCAGGCTCTGAGCCATCAGCCCAGAGCCCGACGCGGGGCTCGAACTCACGGACCGCAAGATCGTGACCTGGCTGAAGTCGGACGCTTAACCGACTGCGCCACCCAGGCGCCCCTTGTTTTTTAACCAGTAGGGGAAAGCTAAGGATTTGCAATGTTCTGAGGGTTCATTTACGTATTCAGCATGCATGTATTAGGTATCGTGGGTGTGTCGGTCCCTGTGCTGGGTTTTGAGGCTGCAGAGATGTCCAAGATTAGGTCCTAACCTTGTGTGCTTCATTAAATCCATTACAATTCGCCATGATAAGTGCTGCAACAAGGGACGTAAAATGTTGCATGAAAGCGGAGGAGAAAAAGTTTAATTTGGGGGAGGTGAGGAATGAAGGGGTGGGATAGATGTTTTGGGGCGAAATTTAATCTGGGTTTTGGAGAATGTGTAGGAGTTTGCCAGTCCGTGAGGAGTACCACTGGTGTTTCCGGCGGGAGATAAGAGCATGTGCACCTGTGAAGAGTAGACTGTAGCGAGGCTGGTGTACTGAGGGCATGGAGGGGAGCCAAGCGGGATGAGGTGGTAAAGGTCAGTAGAAGCCGGATCGTGAAGGGCTCTGAATGCCAAGCCCAAAAGTGGGGCTTGGTCCTGTAGACCATGAGAAGCCACGACTGCCTTTAGGTGGAAGAATGGCAAGACGGGATCTCTTGTTTTGTAATCTCCCTTGCCCTTTAGGCCCCTGTGGACTTAGATATATACCAGAGCTCTTACATGATTGACTATCAACCCTACGGGAAGCGCAAATACTCCAGGGTCACACTACAAGAGGTAAGAAGTCGCTCGGTCTTGTCTTTTCTTCAATGGCCGACTGAAATCATCTTTACTGCATTTGTATTATGAGCGTGGATATTGGGGGCACTTACTTAGAACAATATCTGATACCCAGGAGATCTAAAGAAGTCTTTTATGTGTATGTTTTGTGGGTATGTATGCTTTAAAATGTACATCAACTCTAGGGGCGCCTGGGTTGCTCAGTTGGTTAAGCGGCCGACTTTAGCTCAGGTCGTGATCTCGCGGTCCGTGAGTTCGAGCCTCACATTGGGCTCTGTGCTGACAGCTCAGAGCCTGGAACCTGTTTCAGATTCTGTGCTTCCCTCTCTCTGCCCCTCCCCCGTTCATGCTCTGTCTCTCTCTGTCTCAAAAATAAATAAACGTTAAAAAAAATTAAAAAAAAAAATGTACATCAACTCTAAGTCATGCATGCAAAAGAGTGTACATAATATACGTTTACAGTTTAAATAACATTGACAAAACAAACACCAATGTATCCATTATCAGCACGTTAGAAATACCAGAGAGCCCTAGTTAGCCCCTCCCTGCTCCCACCTCCTCCCACCTCCAGACGTAGCCACTATTCTGAATTTTGGGTTAATCATTCCCGTGTGTGTGTGTGTGTGTGTGTGTGTGTGTGTTTATTTTAAGTTTATTTATTTATTTCTGAAAGAGAGGCAGAGGGAGAAAGGGAATCCCAAGCAGGCTCCTCACTGTCAGTGCAGAACCTGACGTGGGGCTCGAACTCACGAACCGTGAGATCATGACCTGAGCCAAATCAAGAGTCGGATGCTCCACCACCTGAGCCACCCAGGCTCCCCTCCCTTGTGTGTTTCTTTAAAAAATAGCTTTACTCTATATGTATGTGTCCCTTTAAACAAATTGTTTAGGTTTGCCTTTTGAGCTTTATTATATATTGGATCATACTATTCATCCTCTTCTGTGACTTTTATGTTTTGCTGAACATTGTATTTTATATAATATATTATTGATTTCTGCTGTGTGGTACTACACTGCATGAATGTGCCACCATGCCTGTCCCGTTGGCCATCTGGGTTTTTACTTTTTTGTTACCCCTCCCCACTGCCCAGTGCTGCAATGCCGATTGCACAGCCTAATGTATCCACCGCCCCGGGAGTGGAATTGCTGGTCACAGGTAACATCGCTATTTGCCAAAGTTGTTACATCGATGCAGCAGAGACAGTCAGTTCTGTAACTCTCCAACCTTGCCATAAACTTGGTATTGATAGACCTGCAGAGTTTTACTGATTTGGTTGGTTTGAAATAATATTTTCTTGTGATCCCATGTTTCCGGATATTTATTATTCTGTGAGATGTCTGTCCTGCCTTTTGCCCATTTTTTTTTAAGTGGGATGTTTGTCTTTTTCTTATTAATTTGTAGGAGTTCTTTACATATTCTAGACATGTTTCATTCGTTAGTTATATAAAGTGGCAAAAGTTCACAGGCTGTGGTTCATCTTTTCACTTCCTCTCAGTGAATCACAATTCTTACCCAATTCTTATTGGCAAAATATAGCATCTTTCCCTGTATCATCTGCTCTTTTGAAGTCTTAAGAAATCCTTTCCTATTTCGAGGTTTCGCCCCTAAAAATAAGGTCTAGACAAACAAAGGGGACAATTTCTGGGATATAGTATTTGGTGGAAGCAAAGTGCAGAGTGGGATTATAATGTGCATTTGTGTACAAACCAAGGGTGTGTGGAACTTCATTATATGTTTATATGTACATAAACTATATCTAAAAAGATACATGGGGCACCTGAGTGGCTCAGTCGGTTAGTCGTCTGACTCTTGATTTCGGCTCAAGTCATGATCTCTCAGTTTGTGAGTTCAAGCCCTGAGTTAGTCTCTGTGTTGACAGAGGGGAGCCTCCTTGGGATTCTGTCTCCCTCTCTCTCTGCTCTTCCCCTGTTCACTCTCTCTCTCTCAAAAATCAATGAAATAAACATTAAAAAAAGAAGAAGAAGAAGAAGAAGA